ATCAAAGACAGCCAAGAATACTGCTGGTTTCATGTTTTCTTTACATTTATAGTAAAACTGATCTTCTGAAAGAATTAATCCGATAATTTGAAATTTAAGGAAGTTATGACATTTTTTGTGTCGGGTGCTATAGCCGACCGCCCTTTTGTGCCCGGGTTCGGCAGTGACGTCACGTTAGACAGGTTTGACGGCCCCGGCACTAGCGCGGCCGGACGACGGGACGACCCTTGCATGTTGCATTCATACTTAGCGCTCAATCTGAGCAGTCACAATATGTTGTTTGTATCCTGGCATAGACTGCTTTGCGATATTATAGATATAAAAAAAATAAAATTGAACAATTCCACTAATCTTCCAAAGGTGGACATAATAATGGTTAATGCTTAACTATACCAGTTCTTGACAGAAATGCTCCTCCTACTTAAGTATATTCAATCGTAAGTATCCTGTACTGCTTACCAGTGAACTGATTGCATTCGTAAGAGAAAAGGCCAAATATCGTAAGACCTTTAAGGCTACTAATCATCGTCTATTATCAGGAATTCAATTAGAGTCACCGTTAAACAAAAAATCAAGCAGGCTTATATAACTTACATTCAAACAGTTCAAAACGAGCTTTTCAAGTCACAAGGCACAATCTTAGTAAATAATTATAGGACGATCACTATACTAAATAACTTTGCAACGCCACCTGTTAATACATCAACATGGCTTTATGAAGCAGATATCCACATTTACTAATTTGGCCACGTTCAGTTATACTTATGCGAAACAGGGGCAAGTGGATGTACTATAGGCGTATACTGATCTTACAAAAGCGTTTGGCAAAATTGGCCATCAGCTGATTATACAAAAAATTTTGAAAAATCTTGACAATTTAAAAGACGTGGGTGTGAATTTCAATCTAACTACCACATCAGTGAAATTATGAGTAATGCGTGTCGCACATATGGCTTTATCATCAGAAATTGTATAAATTTCAATACCACGACGCTTATTAAATTATTTTCAGCGCTTGTTATCAGTAAATAAGAACACGGTGCAGTTATTTGGAGGTATCTATGAACCTTGCAAAAATAATATTGAAAAAGTGCAAAAGACATTTCTGAAATGCTATAGGAGTGATGGTGCCTATCCTCCAAGAGGATATGACTATTCAATATTGGAAAAGCGCAGAGAGCAGACATCGATCATATTTTTATACAAATTCCTAACATGGTAACATCGACTGTCTTGTTTTGCTATCGTATTGATTTCCTGGTACCTTAATTTACATCCAAATATAGTCTCCTTTTTCTCCAAGAGGGCACAAAAAAATCTTCTGCCTGAAACACCAATAAACTTTATGTGCAATAGTGCGGATATTAAGGGGGATTTTTGTAATGTCTTTTATTGCGGATTTCCGGAATTAAGAAGTGATACACGCTCACATCTTTGACTTTTTTACCCCTTTCTCTAGACAAGTTCGTTTGTTATATATTTATGCGCTAACATTAGATAATAGCTATATATTTTTTTCGCTATCATTTGGTAATTATATATCCAGTTTCTGTTCTCTCTACTCAACGAGCCTTTCGCAACTTTGTGCGACCAACGCCACAGTGGTTTCAAAGTCCCAAAATATGGCCAAAATGAGAAAGATTCTACTAAATACCAAAAACATCCATCTCTTCGTTTTCCAGGTAGCGGACAACTAGTATTCGTTGGTCAAACATCAAAATTACGGATTTAATATGGGGGACATCTGGACATGTTTGCAAAAAATGTTTTGGTTGATCTCAAATTTGACTTTTTGATGTTTTCACCGTCACTAGTTACGAATTAAATATGGATTGTAGATAAACGTGAACGGCGGATCTTGTATGAAGGCTGTTTGCATATCGATTGACCTCAAATTACAGTTTTATATGTTTTCACGGCATAATTTATATATGGATAATATCGCATAATTGCCAAATTAATGTCAGCCGTAGCCAATATTGACATAATTATTAACTGGGTATCTGATAAAGATGCTACTACTATTCGGAATGATATTTTTTTAATCTCTTTTTGAATTCACTTCACTGCTTCGCTTCTCTTGTTTGTTTTACTTGTTCCGAGGGTGGGTTCCGTCCATGAAGGTCTAGAATACACACATTCAAGCGTCTCACAGAAACGGTGAGTGAGGGTTCTGACTGTGCTAATTGTTGCCTTAGGCTTCAAGATTCTGGTTGAGGATACCAGAGATGTACTTGTCATCTTACTCGAGTGGCCAAAGTTACATGTATGGACTCCTGGACAATCAAGCTATTATCCCTAGTCTAGTACCACTTTGTGAGAAGTTTGGGGAAAGCCTCTTTGACAACGCCTATTTGTACATCATTCGTTGTATGACTGACCTATGGAGCATAACGTGTATATCACTAATTTCTTGCTAATTATGATAATGGTTGCGGTCCCGTGGACCAGATGTACACAAGCGATATCGCATATTTCGTGACCGTTGAACTAGCTGTGGTATATATTCCACATGTATGTACGTATTAATAAAGTACGCCTAAATTATGGCAGACGGATTTATGAATCAGTTTGTTGCAAGCGTTCGGATGCTACAGCTGATTTATGACATCATGTTGCAAATGTATTGCGATTTGTTTATGAATATTTCTAGTGATTTATAATGATTATGATTATTTTGTTATTTACTGTTTGGGCTCGTATATCGACAGCATAGACATTCATGATAACATCATATTTATCGAGATTTTGCGGGATAACAAATAGACATTAACAAATTGATGATTTTATTCCGCCGTTCCAGGGAGGTAAGTGTTGTCTCTACGGAAACTTGGATTTTTGAACTGATTTAGTTTTCGTGTGTTTGTTCTTAACGCTGGAGTAAATGGGAATTTTAAATCAAAATTTCATCAAAGGCCAAATAGTAATCTGCCGCCTCTAGAGGGATGTTCAAATAATCGTACATACAAAGCATTTGTTTTCTTGCCATAGCAGTAAACAAGTGTCAAACTTGGATGAAAAGTTTTTCGAATCTAAGACGGCCGATGAAACGTTACCCGACGGAAAACAGAAAACACTTCAGTCATTTAAGAGGTTGCATAAGGAATGCAGGTAACAGTCATACAACAAAAATGTAAACAGCCTCTATATCTATTTTTCAATTCTTTTAAGCTGTTAATCATTTCGTTATCAGTGAATTGTCTCTTATCGTGGAGTAAATGTATTTTAATGTCACTTTCTATTCGAGTTTTAACGAAAGTATGGATGATTTCTTTTTAAGCTTTTAACCATTTGTCCTCACTGCTCGATGTTTATTATGTCTATATATTTTGTATTTCTAACAGATTCTCATACCATTTTTCTTTGTATCAGCTTCAATGATTCTTACCGGCTAGCCGAACATTTTCTGTGATAAAGAAAGTCGCTGTATATGTATATATTTTTACCGTTACAGATGGAACATTTCCAATACGCTGTACCTATATTGTGATTTAACCTGTTAAAATTTGAAGTAATTTGAAGGCACTCATTCACAATTCTTTGTCGCAGGTCTTCTAATGATGTTGGCTGAGTAGCATAGATTTTGCTATTTAAATGACTCCACATAAAGAAATCCAAAGGTGATAAATCTGGCGCTCTTGGGGGCCACTCAATGGCACCTCTTCTACCAATCCGTCGATCTGGAAATGTCTGATCTAAATATTGTCGAACACGTAATGTGTAATGTGGTGGGGCACCATCCTGTTGGAACATCAACCTATTCTCAATGTACCGGCGATCATTCTGATCTTCAATTATGGCTGTTAATGCAGGATCTATGGCGTCTTCCAGTAATTCCAAATACATTTCACCGGTCAAATTTCCAGGTAAGAAAAAAGGACCAACTAAATCAGGCCTCTCCAACTCAGGTGCCACCAGGGCACCTCCGATCACCGCTCGGAGCACAGCGTGCGGTGCGACTCCGTGAAGGTGTTGTGGTAGCCGTAGCGCTCGGCGAATAGAAATAGCCCGGGATCTGGTCACATTGATTCTTCCTTCATCACGGATTCGACTAAATTTAGTAATAATGTGTAAACGAACAAGAACAGCTCGGTATGACGGGGCGCATCCTATCAGAAGTACCTATCATACCGACTTGGAGATAAAACGTGAAAGAAAAATGTCACCGTCGTGGATGAATCCAATGAAGCATACATAAGTTTGAAGGAAACTTTAGGCTAATTTGGAAAAACTTGGTATGTCAAACTTATTTCCACCAGAAGTTCCTGTCGTACCAACTGAAAGCTAGAGCAGACATTGCAAATAGGTATAGATAAAAATAATACCCCCGGTTATATACTTTATGCTTGCATTCAAAAGCTCATTTGAGTTTGTCAGTTTGACACCAGGCTACTAGATGTTTGAAAGTATATGTAAAATGAATATGAAAGGTCATGACAGTTGTTATATGTATAGGTTATAGTAGAATCCTACCGCCACGTTGTATCCTCAAGTAGGTATGACAGGTACTTTCAGGAGGATGCACCCCAAGCATGCCAAGCCCTTTTTGTTCATTTACTTAAAAACTAGATATTATTACTGAGTTTAGTCGAATCCGCATTATGGTTAGATTTAATGTCACCACCTCCCAACCCCAAAGGAAAATGAGCGGAGTGACACTCGTGTTGTCAGTTGAACTGGTGTGATTCAGTCAGCGCGCGGGTGATGGCCACAATTTCGTAGTAAACACATTTACTCTCAAGATGATCTCTGACACCGTTTCGATTCAACAAGTTTTCCAATATTTGGTATAATGGTTTGAGCAGTGGAAATTCTGAGTATCGCCTCTAAGGACACATCAGACAAAGAAGACCTGTTTTTACTTTTGTTGAAGTTCATTATAGAAAACATCTACTCGCATAAGTACGTTGTACCGAACATGGCGCAAATTTCCAAGGCCAGTGTAAGAATTTTAGGGAAGTCCTGCTGCTTAACACCTTGATAAAATGAAATTAAATTACTATTATAGTGGTAGTATCTATCCTTAAGGATCGTATTGCATTGAAGCTTAATCAGCTCCATTAGGAACTGCGGCGGTGCTGTTTCGAAACGCACTGTAAATGGCGCCGTGAAAATCTCAACCTTGATTGCAAGATCATCTATCTCCTTGAATCTAGCACTGAATGCATCGAGCAAATTCTTTAACGACAGCTGGTACTCTTTCAAATGATTATATGACAAATCCAACGACCTTAAGGAAGGGAAATTGTCAAAACCGTTCCTCTCGAGCTGACTTATCAATAACAAAATTTGCATTTTTCTGGCTTTGATTCGGTCATACAAGGTGTAATCAACTTATTTCTCCCTTGTAAGGATACGTTCAATTCACTCGAAAATCCAGTCATATCTCTTAAGAAAACAAGGTCATCACGCAAAATCGGCTGAGGATACCCTTCATATCGATAAACATATCAACGTCGTCAATTATTTCAAAAAAAGTCTTTAGGACTTTTGCGCAGCTTAACCAGCGCGTAACACATAGAAGGGTATGTCACCGTAAGATGCTTCCAGGTCTTTCAAAAATACTTTGAACTGCCGGTGGGTGACACCTTGCTTTCTGCAGAAATTGACACATTTCATTACTACATCCATAACAGATTTGAAATTGTGCAAGGTTTTTGCACATAATTGTTCCTGATGTAAAATGCAGTGTACCGATGATATCGGAGGTAGCCCAGCGTCGCGTACTTTTCTTTTCATTCGCCCAGTAAAACCTTGTGCTTCCGATAATGTTGCTGGCGCTCCATCAGTAGCAACACCACGCAAGTTTTTGAGCGGTAGACCCATGTCGTTCATTGTGTCCTCCACGGCACCAAACATATCTTCTCCGGTCGTTGTATCTTTGAGCGGAATAACATCAAGTAGTTCTTCGGTAATAGTAAAGTCTGTTTCAACACCTCTAACGAAAACAGCTAATTGTGCTGTGTCAGAAATGTCTTTACTTTCATCGAGAGCTATCGAATACTGCACAAAATGGGCACATTTTTCCCGCAGTTGTTCTTTTAGATCTGCACCAACGACGAGATATTGTTTGCTCGGACATACTGATTGCCTCAAAGTTGCTTACAACAGACGGACACAATATTTCTGCACACTCTACTAAACATTCTTTGACAAATGCACCGTCAGTAAAAGGTCTTCCAGTTTTGGCGATTTTCAAAGCAACACTGTAACTTGCACGAACAGTGCTTTCCGTAGCGGTGGGTTCGAGCACCTGAGGAATAACGAATTGAAATATGAGTTTGGGCATTTTTTTTAACTGTACTAAAATGTAATGGAAATATTCGAAGGGCTCTCAAATTTAGAAGAACAGTTTGAAATATGAAAACTATATACGAGAGAGAGAACATGAACTCAACAAAATGTGACGCAGAACCAGACATACTCGTATAGACAAACATATTTAGTCTTTATCAATAAAATAACCACAAAGTCCTTAGATTCGAGACCATTAATAAGTAGCCATCATAATCCATAGCAGGTTTGTTTACATAATATCGGCGAATAGTCGATGCTTTTAGACGTTTAAAATAAGGTATCACTCGACCCCCCTTTCTATTAAAGATTTTAGGGTTGGTGTCACCTCCGCACATGGGGCTGCACGTGCTAACGTGATTTTTGCCAAACTTGTGTCCCCCTCGAAAACAAGATCGACGGATCTGAGCGTTTTTTTTTTTTAAAAAACTGAGCTGCCAGTAAATGCGTCAGTTTCGTTTTCGATGCGCCACCCTGTATTTATCTATCTATCTATCTGTATAGTCAACGCCAAACAAAGTGACGTGCACGTCATCACGATAAAAATTCCCCGACCTAATGCCTAGGTTTCTATCACAAACAATTGCTCTATTGCAGTTTCATATTAATGTGATATATAAATTGTAAAATGGTCATTACTCTCTTATTATGGTTAATAGTCATATAAACATTGTTATTAAAATATCACATAAGTTGCTTTCTGATAAATTTAGACGCATTATGCGAAATAAAATGTTTTGCAAACGCTCCAATCACTTATCGACATGTAAACGCACTAAACCGATTTCGCAGCGTTGACACATTGTCACCTTGAAACTTATTTAAACTGGGAACTGACATTTGTATTAATTTTGACACTGAATCAATTTGTGGCATTTCAAATCTTTATAAATCCTTTGGCCCCGCATACTGTAAATCAACAACTGTTTGTTTCAAAACAAAATTATTCATTTTACGAGTAGATAAAGGCAATTTTGGTATATAAAGATGCCCAAACAGTTAAATAGTTGGTGTAAGGAACTCGTGGCCTCGTTAATGCACTACTTTGAGCAAGAAAGGGACAACAACGGGCCTTTGTGCTGTTCAAGAGGTAGGTTACTAATAATTATATGTAATGTATATTAATAATAGTGAAATTTTATTTCATTTTTTGTAGCGTGTTGCTGCTGCTTTAAAAATTAGTTTAAGGACAGTTAGTCGTATTTCCGAGGGTGTGAAAAGTGATGCAAATTTAGAATCGCCCAAGAAAAAGCGGAGTTATAATAAAACGTGTAACCAACACAGCGACATTGGATACAAGTGCCATTCGAGAAGTGATCTATAATATGTATCACAAAAGTAAGATTTTATTATAATAACTTATCAGAAATTTGCATTAATTTGTTAACTAAATTATAATGTCATATTACACATGGTTTCAGAAGAACAAGTTACGATACAAACTTTATGGTCTCGATTAAGAGATAGGGCATTATTTGATGGTAGTGCCACGTCTTTAAGGCGGTTGCTTAGAGATCTTGGATTTAAGTGGCTTACGGACAATCCGCGACGAGGGCTCATGGAACTACCAAGTATAGCTTTGAAAAGGGTGGAATTTCTAAGGCAATACAATCAAGCCAAGGTTGAGGCCTTATACCAGTTTGTCTTCCTCGATGAAACTTGGATATTTCAAAATGGGACCATAGGTCGCTTTTGGCAAAATGGAAACCAAAAAAGCGTGAAAGCTATTAAAACAGATGGTAAAAGGTATGTACTTTTACACAATTTGCACTATAAAATTTAAAACTAATATATTTTAGATACATTATATTACATGCTGGAAATGAAAATGGGTTTATTGAGGGTAGTGAAGCGATATTTTCTTCGAAAATAAAATTGAGCGATTACCATGGAGAGATGAACCAGGACAATTTTTTGAAATGGTTTCAACATCAGTTATTAGAAAAACTGGAGAGTCCATCTATGATTATACTGGATAACGCCCCTTATCACAGCATGATATTGAACAAAGTGCCCAACAATGCATGGACAAAAAAAAATATCCAAGACTGGTTGACAAATCAAAACATACCATTTTTAAACACAATGTTTAAAACAGAGCTATTGAGTATTGTTGCTCGGTACATAATGCTTCTTAATTATATATATATTTTGGTCGACAGTTTATATTTCTTTTGTTTATTCCTATTCTTAAAATAACTGCTTTTTTAGAAACAAACCACCTAAAATATACGTGATTGATGAATTGGCGGAACAACATGGGCACAAAGTTCTTCGTCTGCCTCCTTACCATTGTATATTTAACCCTATTGAGTTAATTTGGGACATAGCAAAAGGTTACTATAACAGACATATTGGTAGAGATGGTAACAGTGAAAAAGACTGTTTGGATATGTGGAACGAGGCTCTACAAACGGTTACCCCAGACATGTGGAAAAATAGTGTTCGACATACTGAGCAAGAAATTTTTAAATGGTATGAAAGAGAACGAATTTTTGATCGACCAGACATCGAACCTTTAATAATCAACTTTGAGAGTGATGAAGATTCAGATTCAGACAGCGCTGAAGAAAGAAACTCCGACTAACTTTATTGTACAGAAAAAGCTTACACCAGTAAGCCTAATTTTAGAATGCATTTTTCTGTATGAATTCTGTAAAATAAATACCATGCATAAAATTTGGAGGACCCCATTTGGATTTTTATTCAGTACCTTTAAGCTATCAATTAAATATGGTAGTTTCATAGTGTCATCTGATCAATAATTGTCATACTTAATGATTATGCAAGTACAGATCTATAATTTTATTATACTATTATTTTTGTTCTCATTTGAGGTTAATATTGCTTATAAACCTAGATATGTAAATAATAAATTTTATTATTTTACAAAAAGTTTGGCAACAATGTAAATTTTTCAACACACCCACCTTGATGACGTGCACGCCACTTTGTTTGGCGTTGACTATAGAGAGCTTTTACGGCTGAACAGTTCTTTTACCAAAAACTTGTAGCACCACCTTGCTAATTGTGTCTGAATGAATTACGAAATTGCAATACGCTAGCCAATCAGGATGGAACGATAGAAACCCACTCCGAAATAAATTGTCCCGCAAAAACGGTTATAGTGATTTGATTATCGTCAAAGGTACTGAGTTTCTGAACCCATGACTAGTCGAATCTAATTTATTTTAGTGAGTTCTAGATTCGACTGATGCTACATATTGTTTTTTCTTCATTTTTTATCTTTTGTGTTTATTACCCCACTCGGTCATGTTAGCAAGCTTAGATATAGACTGATGAATCTGATGCATGAATACTAGATTTTGATGTAAAGATAACGGCCTAATTTTTTTTATATTGGTTGGGAGGTGATGTGATTCTTCATTGTGCGCGTCCTCACACTACTCCAGTATTTCATGACCTTAGATTATAAATTTACTAAGAAAAGGCCTATTTCAATGTACAATAAAGTACGAGACATTTTAGTGGATAAAAAGCTTTAGGTAGCAATTGCAGTTCGGTGCTTATTCAGGACTAAGAACTCTTTTAGTGAAAGACTAACAATATTACAAAATGCAAGGCTTTTATACACCTTCATGAAAATATGTATCAAATGAGAAAGAAGTACCGATTATGATACCATCAAGTGATGATGAGATTTGAGTACAAAGGGAAGGGTCTAGGTTTAAGTATGTGATAAAGATTTCATTCAGCACTGAGCTACGGCCATGCCTGAGCCAACTGAAAATAACATTGTTCCTAGAACGGATGTAGCCTTTGCAAATCATTCAATCAGTGAAAATGAAAACTAACAGCAAACTAGTTTTGTCAAACTCGCTCTATGACTAGTGTCCCACATTTTTCATCCAAGTTGCGTCACTAAAAGGTTAGCCCCAGACCATTGCAAGATGGGATATTTGCATAAGAAGTATTAGAAATTATGCAATCTAGCAAGAAATATGACGGAAACATATAAATATAGAAAATAACATGCAATC